AGTTCGTTCTTAATTTCAATGTCTCTGGTTATATTTTGCTTGTTTGTTTGTTTTGTTAATTAGGTTCCGCTTATAGGTGAGATTATATGGTTATTTGTCTTTTTTTTAAAATAAATTTATTTATTTATTTTTGAATTGATTATGCTGTTACAGTTGTTCTATTCCCCCCTTCATTCCCCTCCACCCTGCCCCCCCAACCCCACCATTACCCCTCTTTAGTTTATGTCCATGTGTCTCAAGTCCTTTAGGTTCTATATTTCCCATGCTATTCTTGCCCCCCCATCTATTTTCTATCTACTGTCTATGCTACTTGTTTTCTGTACCTTCTCCCCCCCGTCTCCTCCTCCCACTCCCCTGTTGCTAACCCTCCTTGAGATCTTCATTTCTATGTTTCCACTCCTGATCTAGCTGTCCTTTTAGTTTGCTTTCGTTTTAGGTGTGGTTGTTAATAACTGTGAGTTTGTTGTCCTTTCACTGTTCATGTTTCTTTAACTTCTTTTTCTTAGATAAGTCCCTTTAACATTTCATATAATAAGGGCTTGGTGATGATGAACTCCTTGAATTTGGTCTTATCTGAGAAGCACCTTATCTGTCCTTCCGTTCTAAATGAAAGTTTTGCTGGGTAGAGCAATCTTGGTTGTAGGTCTTTAGATTTCATGACTTGGAATATTTCTTTCCAGCCCCTTCTTGCCTGTAAGGTCTCTTTTGAGAAATCTGCTGACAGCCTGATGGGGACTCCTTTGTAGGTGATTGTCCCCTTACCTCTTGCTGCTTCCAGGATTCTTTCCTTCATTTTAATTTTGGCTAATGTAATTATGATATGCCTTGGTGTGTTTCTTCTTGAGTCCAACTTTTTGGTACTCTCTGGGCTTCTTGGATTTCTTGGAAGTCTATTTCCTTTGCCAGATTGGGGAAATTTTCTTTTATTATTTGTTCAAATAGTTTTTCCACTGGTGGTTGTGTCTTTCCCCCTTCTGGTACCCCTATAATTCAGATATTGGAGCGTTTATAGATGTCCTGGAGGTTCCTAAGCTTCTCCTCATTTTTCTGAATTCTTATTTCTTCATTCCTTTCTGTTTGATGATTTTTTTCTTCTTCCTTCTGGTCCACTCCATTGATTTGAGTCCCAGTTTTTTTTTCATCTCTATGGTTTTCCTGTGGAATTCCATTCATTTCCCTTAATTTAGCCTTCATATGTTTCTCTAATTTGTGGCTATAGTCCACCAGATCTGTGAGGAAGCTGATGACCAGTGTTTTAAACTGTGCGTCTGAGAGATTTGCTATTTCTTCGTCACTTAGATTTATCTCTGGGGCTTTGAGGTCTTCCTGCGACATTTTTGGTCTGTTCTGGCCCTTTAAGTGGGAGGAGCGGCGCCTTGGATTCCCCGGTCGCTGGGTTGTGACGCTGTATGTGGGGGCGTGGTCAGAGCGGGAAATGGCGCCGCCGGTCCAAGCGTTCACTCCCTCACCGGCGTGCAACCAGGCAACCACAGTCAACTCGCTGCCACCGCCTCCCCACTGACTCCTCCGTAGTCGCTCACCCAATGGGCCGCTCAGTCGCTCACTAGGTCCAATCCTGGGTTTGGAACCCGTGCGTCTGGATTCCGCGCCCGGGTCGATTGAGCCCTCCTTTGTAACTCCTCACCCGACGCCGGTTTCGCCCCTTACCGGTGGGGCCGAAGAATTTGTTGTTAGCGGACTTCCGAAAAGTTCAGTTTTCCATGTTCTGGTTGTGTTTTCTGATGCTAATATTTAGTTGTCCCTAAACTTGGTTGTGTGAGGAGGCACGGCACATCCACCTTAAACCTCCATCTTGGCGGAAGTCCTTGGTTATTTGTCTTTCACCACCTGGTTTATTTCACTTAGCATAATGCACTCCAGAATCTCCAGAATACTATGCAGCAGAAAGAAGGAGTTCCTACTCTTTGCGACAGCGTGGATGTATTGCACATTTCTTGTTGAACGTTTATTTCTAGATGTTTTATCTTTTTAATTCTTATTGAATGAGACTCTTCTTTTCCATCTTATTTTTCTAACTGGTAGTTGTTTGTGCACCTGTCTTCACTCTTCTTCAACAATCTACTTACCTGGCTCCACAGTTATACTCTAACTTTACTCCATTTAATAAATCTCAAACTCAATGTCACACCTTCCTGCCCAGTGAGTAGACTCATGCCCTATTCACATTCTACTTGCTTTCTGACCTCATCTAGACCTACATTTCTTTGGCTCTTTCGTTGTCTTTCAGTTTTCAGTCCTCTTCAGACCTTATTTTACTCCTTGTCACTTCTTGGATTCTAAGTCAAACCACTTGAATTAACTAACTCGATTTCACAGTTTTCCTCCTTTAGTTCCACTAGTCAAACGTGCCCTCAACTTAGGCTCTACAAACCTATTCCAGTGATGAATATAACAGGAGAAATGGCATACACATGGAAATTAGAAACCACATATATATAGGAAAAAACTCATTGGGATCCCTGAAGCTGCTCAGTAATCCCTTTACTATTCTTTGATCAGCTTCCATTGACCTCTATGAGCTACAGCAAGTGCTCAAGATCTTGCCTTGGCCTACAAATTCCTTTACATTCAACAGAAGACCTTGTCTCCCACTTCACCAAGGAAATAAAAATCACCATGTGTGAACTCCCCAAGTTTGCCACAAACAAACTTATTTCTGTACAAAATCACCCTAATCTTTTTATCCCAGTCCCATGTCTTCTAGAACTGTGATCCATCTTTCGTACCTATTTCTCCTTATCCTTTCTACTGACTCCTTCCCTTCAGCATTATAAACAAGCTAAAATCATTCCTGCTTAGAACAATCTTCTTTTGACACTACCTTCTTATTCCAGCAAATATCCTCTTTATCGTCCTCCTTTCTTGTTCTAGCTTCTTATGAGAGAACTGTACACATACTAGCTCTGCATTTTTTTTACCTCTGTTCATTTGACAATGTACAAATTGATTGTTCTTCTAATCAGTCCTGTTATTTCTCTTGTTAATATAATTATTAACCTCTTCATTGATAAATCCTCCAGACATTTTCTAGGTCTCATCTTAGCTAGGAAGAGATTTCTAGATAAATACATATCAGCAGATGTCAACAACAATGAGGCAGGTAATATCCCAGAAAACACATCAGAATTAGGTCTTAAAAGCCAGATCATTCTATGTGTCCTTTGATTAACAGAAATGTTTTCCACATTCTCATCAGAAGGACCACTGATTATGTCTCACAGGATAATGCAAAAGCACAAGTAGCTTCCTTGGAGGAGACTGCTAATGCCTGTCCCTGACGAGGATGGGGAAAAAATCAGTTGTTCAAGCTGAGCTATGAACCAAGAGCTTTGGGTATCCACATATACATGCATAAGGGAATCTTCTGACCTTAGCAATTACTTTCTCTAGTTGAGGGTCATCTGTGGGTAGGGCCATAATGGGAGACAGTGTGGACCCTACATATGGCAGCATATGTACCCCTTGGATAGAACAGCTCTGACTTCTGCTGTAGGTGCCTACCCTGACAATTTACCTGAAAGGGGAGTTTTCATTTCTTTTCTTTAGTTTCCTACTTGCTGGGATTCAGGGTGTGGAGGTTCATAGAAATAATGTCACCCACTGTTGTCAAGGAAAGTGCTAGAGGTTCCTGACAAAATGTTTTTTATTATTAGCCACTACCCATGGAATGCCAGCACTGGTCAGGCCCAAGTTCACATTCAAAGAGGCTGAATTAGGAATAAAGTTTCCTGCCTAAAATAATCTAGAGCACTAAAAGCAAGAAGGACAGCCAAGTCCAAGTCAAAATGAAAAAGCAGAAGTTTGAACAAAACAAAACCAAGTCCAAATGATGAAGCAAAGTGCCACGACAAAGAATCAGAGTGGGAAATTAGATGGAGATGGGGCAGGTTAAGCATGGCTTAATCAACCAGAGTGCAATATAGTATATAAGTAGCAGTCAACTATTTGCTGATATAACCCAGGCAGAGCATTGTAGGTGTTATGCTAACAACAGGGAACTATGGAGGGTTTCTTTTGGTCAAGAAGTCTCATATTTAGTGAAATGTTTTAAAGGAGAGAGTATAAAGTCAACAGACCCAGGTTCTGAAATACAGTACTTAATTAAATAATAGCATGACATTCATAAATAAAAATATAATCTAAAATCTGGAAAGAGAATGTGGGTGAAATACTTAGACTAGAAATGGGGGAAACTGACATAGAAGGCTACTTAAAAGCATTGTACTATGGAATGGAACACTAAGTCCATAGAAATACACACCTTTAGAAGACTAAGGAGGGAGAGAAGGTAGTACAGGAGCAGGTAAAGATACAGGAGAAAAGCTGAAAGAGGCAAGGACAGTGTGTATCATAAGCCAGGGTAGAAGAAAATTTCAAGAAAGTAAAGTCAACACAGTCAAGTACAAGTTCATAGGAGACAATGACTATGGTTTTTTAGCCACTGGATATGACTGGAAGAAAGTCAGTGGTAGCATCCAAGAAAACAATTTTAGTACCAAGTAAATTATAGCACAAAGGTGAGCATGTGAATAAAAACCAAGACTATGGCTTTCGGACAAGTTTAAATAACTTGATAATGAAAGGAAAGAGAAAAAATGAAAGTAGGTAAAAATGACAGAGGATTTTTGATATGGAAAAAAAGACTTAAAGAATACAAAGAGAGAATGTGTGAATAAAAAATAGAAAGTGCTATGTGGAGATCTGCAACATCAATATATTTATGGACATCAGACTAATACCTTCAAAATAACTTTTGTGTTGTGTAAATTTTAGGGTAATAAGTATATATTACTTGTTTAATCAGAAAAGTAAGAATGCCACTTTCTCTTTGGGAAAAAGTCAAATATGGAACTGATTTTTAAAAAGTCTTCAGTCTTCTTTAAATCCCAGAGAGAGATTAGGAATACACCCAGTTGGGTATTTCAGAAGTGACTGTTTCCCTTCACCCAGTAGCAAATACTAAAGTGCTTGCTTCTCACCTGGATGAGTGTCCGGTGGGCCGTCTCTTTCTATCATCCACTGCTCTTCTTCCTCCAATTGAGTGATCACCTCTGGCTTATGAAGTTGATGCCCTATTCATGGGAAAAATGTATCTCAGAAGTTTATACTAGAAACAAAAAAATTTCTCTCAGAACTCATTTCCAAACATTTTTAGTCTTTTTTTTCCACGACCAACCTAAGTTATTTATTTAAGCCATCTTCTGCCGTAGGCAAAAAGACAGATAATTAGTATACAGTAGTCATCATCTGGTATTAGGAAAGAAGGTCAGCTTGAGTCCCATACACTTTTCTGATCTGTGTGCAGAGTAATGGTTCAAATCCCGGTCTATTTCGCTCTATCCCATCCATGAAGGGAATCACCCCTCTGTCCAGCATATCAATGCTATAGAAGCTCCAGGCCAGTTAGTCACACAGTAGCCATCCTGGTTATCAGATGGACTGTCTTAGTAACCAAATGCAACACTTATTTTATATTATAATGACCCTAAAACACAAGAGTAGTGATGCTGGCAATTCAGATATGCCAAATAGGAGGCATAAAATGCTTCCTTAAGTAAAAAGGTCAAAGTTCTCAACTTAATAAGGAGAGAAAAAATTATATGCTGAGGTTGTTTAGATCTATGGTAAGAACGCATCTATCCATGAAATTGTGAAGAAAAAAGAAGTTCGTGCTAGTTTTGCTATTGTACCTCAAACCATAAAAAATTAGGGCTGGAGTTTGTGGTAAGTGCATAGTTAAGATGGAAAAGACATTAAATTTTATCACAGGTACGTATGAAGAGGAAAAAGCATAGTATATATATTATATTACTAATATAATATAATATAATATAATATAATATAATATAATATAATATAATATAAATATTAGTACTGAACTAATATATATTTATATATTAGTTCTATATATAGAACTATATATTTTTTATGGTTTTTATAATTTTTTATGGTTTGAGGTACAATAGCAAAACTATATATATATATTAGTTCTAGCAAAACTATATATACAATAGCAAAACTATATATATATATATATATATATATATATATATATATATATATATATATATATATATATATTAGTTCAGTACTACCCATGGTTTCAGGCACCCCCTGCAAATAAGGGGGGACTACTACAGGCTCATCAGAATGATTTCCAGTTTTAGAAGGACACAACCACACATACCAAGTGCAACCAGATTCCTGTAGTTTTCCAGCATCACATCTCGGTAAAGGTTCTTCTGAGCAGGGTGCAGCCAGTCCCACTCCTCTCTGGTGAAGTCCACGGCCACATCCTGGAATGTCAGTGACTCCTGAAACATCAATTCCATGCCTGCTCAGTCAGAGAATTTTTTTTAAAAACTGGAACCCTTAGGGGAAGGGGCAAAGGTACAGCAGTAGACAAAGGTTAGGATGTCTAAGCAGCTGTTGTGCTGAGAGTCTTCAGGGCTCTCAGTAATTAGGTAAAATAAAAAAAGGAGGGAAGGAAAAAGTGGGAGAAACTCATCAGCCAGGGCTAGGTTAAAATTTTTGAAACAACAATCAATGCCTGTCTTGCTAACATCTTTCAAGACATATATAAAAACATGCATGAAATAATGCTTGCTTTTAAGCTTTTTATAATCTGTTGTACAGAAAAGAATCTCATATAATCCAAACAATTAAAAAACAATAATGGGAAATTCATGCTATGTGATTTCAGAAATGATAGAATTCAGGATATACTGAAACAGTGAAAGGTATCAAGTTGGTGTATCTTGTGCGGTCCTTAAAAAATTTCAAGCTTTGGACAGAAGAGGAGAGAGGATATTTCAGTGGGTTGTACCCAATAAATTCAATTTAAAATAGAAACAAAATGAAAGCAACCAGGGCAAACAGGTTAACAGTAGAAGGTACATGACACATGTTGAGATCAGTAACAGGAACTGCCGTGAAACAGGTAAGAACATAAAATAAGGGAGACTGCTATATTTCCTCCATTATCAATGCTCCTTAAAGAACCCCTTTGCTCTAAGAGATGCAGACTTACAGACATAGACGCACACCAATATATACACCCCCTTCTCCACCTTTACTACCTAACACCACCCCCCGCTGTCCAACCCACTTCATGGGTACAGTAACTCTTCAGTTCTTCAGAATGAGTACAACGTGGTGTTCTACGTAAGTACTCTTTCCCACAAGTTAAGGTTCAATATTTGAGTACAATATTGACATTTCATTTAAATTAATTTTCATGCTTTGATAACATATCTTTCTAAAATATATTATAATTCAGTGATGTGGACAATTTAGAGATGAGTCACCAAGGCTGGAAGAAATTAATTTATCCAAGGACATATAGCTAGTAAATGGCAGAACAGAATTTCATCTCAGATCTTATTCTAAAGCCTATGCTTTTTCCATCACACCACAGAGATGTCCTCTCTACTTCTGTAATATCTTCCCTTCTGTGATTTTTATTTCTAATTTCCATTCAATTTTCCCCATGCTTCTTAAGCACAAGGGTGAGAAAAATTATGAGTTACAGTTTACATTCTTTAATATCCACATATGTAATTCTTTTTGGCTGGCTTAATCAGTACTTGCCTATAGTTTCTCCTTCCTTCTATTCTTTCTAATGATCTTGCATTTGTTCCCTGTTTCTTCTGTTCTTTCTTCTTTATTTTCATATCCTTATTCGAATTCTATTTTAAGGTAGATAATATATTAATATGGTGTAGAAACAAAAACATATTAAAAAGATTTAGTAAAAGATGTCTTTCTCAGGCTTCTTTCGTCTCTGTCCAGCTCCTACAACCAATGGATAATCACTACTTAAAGTTTTTGTATTTTTCCAGGATTATTCTTTGTGCAAATATGAATATGAATTATTACCTGTCACTTTTTATTTTTATCTTAAAGTTAACATTTCATACACTACTTTAAAACATGATTTTATTTATTTATTTTTAGAGAAAGGGAGGAGAAAGACAGGGAGAGAAACATTAATGTGTGGTTGCCTCTCATGTACCCTCAACTAGGGACCTGGTCCACAACCCAGACATGTGCCCTGACTGGGAATTAAACCAGCAACCTTTTGGTTTGCAGGCCAGTGCTCAGTCCAGTGAGCCACAACAGCCAAGGCTATACACTGTTTTTTAACTTAACAATTAATACTGGAAATTTTTCCATCTCAGCTTATTAGGACAGAGAGAGCTACTTCATTATTATTTTTTAAACATAAAAAATTTGGATGTAATTTCAGACTTCAAGAACAGTTGTAAAAACTGTACTTGAACAACAATTAAATAAAAATAAAAAGAACAGTTGCAAGAATAATGAAAGAAATTCTTCCCTCCCCGCTCCCTTATTCTCTCTTTCTGTAACTTTTCTGGACCATTTAACAGTAAGTTGCAGACATGATACCCCTTTATAACTAAAAAATTTGGTATTTATTTCTGAAAAAACATGGAATTGTCATATAATAACAGTACAAAATAAAAATCAGAAAATTAACACTGGTACAGTAAGACTGTCAAAACTATACAATTATTCAAATTCCACTAAATGTTTTGATAATGTCTTTTATACAGAAGAAAATTCAAGGTCATACACTCCATTTGGTAGTCTTGTATCTTTTGTCTTCTTTAATCTGTAACAGTTTCTGTGCCTTTCTTTGTATTTCCCAACACTGAGATTTTGAAAAGTGCAGGCCTGTTATCTTGAGAATAAACCTCAGTTTGGGCTTGTCTAATGTCTCCTTCTGAACAGATTCACACTATGCACTTCTAGCAGGAAGAGTATGCAAGGGGACACTGGGTTCTCAATGAATCATATAGGAGGCACACATTGTTTACTAGTTCCATTACTGGCAATGTTAACTTTGATAATTTGGTTAAGGTGGTTATCTATTAGTAATTTCCACTAGAAAATTACTACTTCCTCCTGTAAGTAATAAGTATCTTGGATAGAAGATACTTTGAGACTCTGTAAATATTTGGCTCCTCCTCAAACTTTCATCCATTAGTTTCAGCATTCACTGATAATTCTTGTTTGAATCAATGGTAATTATGATGGCTGTTAAATGATGATTAGTTCAATTTCCATTATTCTTTGTATAGTTTTAGTTGGCTTTCTACTGTCCTGAAGACATTTGTTTCTCATTAATTCATTAATTTATATCAGATGGATTTATATACTTTTTTATTCAACAAATTATAAACATTTATTATCACTATTTCTTTTAATGCTCGGATTATCCTAGGTTTAGCCAATAGGAGCCCCTTAAAACTTACTCCTGTGTCCTTTTGACATGTCCCTATCATTTTTAGCATTTCTTTTACTTTTTGAGAGAGAAAAAATGTTCTTTAAAAGTTCATCCTAGGATTTCCGCCAAGATGAAGGTGTAGGTGAAAATACTTTGCTTCCTTGCACAACCAAATCTAAAGACAACAAAGTTTTAACAACAATAAACCTAACCAAACCACAGAAAATCGAACAATATGAAGTCCGAAAACAACAGACCACTCAGCTAAACTGGTGAGAGGGGCGAAGCCAGCAGCGCAGCGGGTTGGGCAAAAAACATCCCCTAACCCGGGCTGCGCTCAGGCAGCCAAGGGCGCAGATCCCAGGTGCGGGGGTAGCTATGGGCGGACCCAGAAAAGGTGTGGTGCGGCTGCCTGTCTGCGGTCACACATTTACGTGCAGATAAACCAGTGAAGAGATGTGCATTGAGACAGACCTTGCAGGCCCCAGCGCAGGGCGGCAGGCTCGTACATCTGCGCTCAGATAAACAGGCAAGGGCGAGCAGTGAGGCAGACAGGACGAGCGGAGAGGACCAACATTGCTCTCTCTCTGACCCCACCCCCACATACAGCATCGCAACCCAGCGACCTGGGTGGCCCCGCCCTGGTGAACACCTAAGGCACCTCTCCTCATATGCAACAGGCACAAATAGATCAAAACATGGCTCAAGAACAACTCAGAGCCCCAGAGCCAATAAATCTAAGTGATGAAGAAATAGCCAAACTTTCAGATGCACAGTTCAAAACACTGGTAATCAGGATGCTCACAGAACTAGTTGATTTTAGTCACAAATTAGAGGAACATATGAAGGCTAAACTAATTGAAATGAATGGAAATGCACAGGAAACCAATAGTAATGGAAAGGAAACTGGGACTCAAATCAAGGAAGCAGACCAGAAGGAAGGAAAAAATGACCAAATAGAAAAATATGAAGAAACAAGAATTCAAAAAAATGAGAGGCTTAGGAACCTCCAGGACATCTCTCAATGCTCCAACATCCAAATTATAGGAGTACCAGAAGGGGAAGAGGAACAGTCACAAGTGGAAACCTTATTTGAACAAATAATAAAAGAGAACTTCCCCATTCTGGCAAAGGAAATAGACTTCCAGGAAATCCAGGAAGCTCAGAGAATCCCAAAGAAGTTGGACCCAAGGAGGAACACACCAAGGCACATCATCATTACATTAGCCAAGATTAAAATGAAGGAGAGAATCCTTGAAGCAGCAAGAGCTAAGGGGACAGTCACCTACAAAGGAGTTCCCATCAGACTGTCAGCAGATTTCTCAAAAGAGACCTTACAGGCAAGAAGGGGCTGGAAAGAAGTATTCCAAGTCATGAAAACCAAAGACCTACAACGAAGACTGCTCTATCCAGCAAAGCTTTCATTTAGAATGGAAGGGCAGATAAAGTGCTTCTCAGATAAGATCAAATTCAAGGAGTTCATCATCACCAAGCCCTTATTATATGACATGTTAAAGGGACTTACCTAAGAAAAAGAAGTTAAAAAAGATGAACAGTGAAAGGACAGCAAACTCACAGTTATCAACAACCACACCTAAAACAAAAGCAAATTAAGAGGACACCCAAATCAGGAGTGAACCATAGAAATGAAGATCTCATGGAGGGTTAGCAACAGGGCAGTGGGAGAAGGAGAAGGGGGGAGAAGGTACAGAAAATAAGTAGCATAGACATTAGATAGAAAATAGATAGGGGGGAGGGCAAGAATAGTAGGGGAAATATAGAATCTAAGGAACTTGAGACGTGTTCATGAACTAAAGGGGGGGGAATTGTGGGAGAGGGGTGTGCAGGGTGGAGGGGAATGAAGGGGGGAATAGAACAAATGAAATGGCATAATCAATAAAATAAAAATATATTTTTAAAAAAAGTTCATCTTGTGCTTTTCGGCCCCAAGCTTGGAGCCAGCCACTTCTCCAAGGATTCCTGATTCCTTTTAATGGTCAAATACTGAGTGGTTTTTCTTCCAACCAGAGTATCTACAGGGTTGCAAAATGTCATGTTCTGCTC